CTGACAGCAGGTAGGCAGTTTTCTTGGCATACAGAATCGTTTTTATTTTCTCGCATTTTATTTCCTTTCCGTCGATGTGTAGCCCTACAACATTATTCCTGTCTCCCAAAGCCTTTACTTATCCCTCCTCCTCTCGCATTCCTTGTTTCCTTCTGGGAATTAAGGTAATATCCTACATCTTGTGTGAGACTGTTACATAACGGTAGGTCGCACAAGACATGCGTTCTCTATCGAGATAGCCTATTAATTTTTCTACACCACAAAATACGTATCTTGGTTTCATGATAACTTTTAAATAATTGCTACTGCTTTTAGAAATATAAACATATTAATTGCAAGTACGTTATTTATACTCGTACTTGTTTAACTCTGTTCTGACGTCAGTTTGCTTCTAACCGGTACGAACAAATCTGTATTGACAAAGAAGCAGACTACAAAAAGAATACAAAACATTTCTGCGCTCTGCTGTTGTATAGCGGGAAACATGGAATGGAGAAAAATGGAGTAGAAAAGCAAAGTGATGGAAGAGACGAAACCTCGTAAGGAGCAAGGCAGAACATGGAGCTACTCCACAGCCAAACCAGCCTCCCCGTTTTATTCAAAGCGAGGAGAAGTAAGTCACCTATACATGTAAATTTCTCTCCCACAACCCATAAATATATAGGAATAAACATATGCGCTCATAAATCAATGTCCAATTGCTTAAAACATAGCGAAGAGTTCGGGTTAGTCATTTATTTTCTTAACTCTCTTACGTCATGCAGGTAACGAAGACACAGGTATTCAGAGCAGGACATAAAAACAAAGTCGAAACTAATTTATTCAACATTTTCCCGATTGTGTGATGCGAGTCCACGATCAAGACGCCTTCATCGAATAAGTTTTGGCTGATTTTAAGTTGTATTAAACATTTACCCAGTCGTTAACTTTATATTAAATATATGGATGTGCTCTCGACAAGGATTAAGTACAAAAAAGAACCTATGGATGTCGATCCTGTACAAACAATTCGTTAAGTATAATTTGATATTGACCTCTGACATCTTGGTCACCACACCGGGAGAAATTAAACAGCCTGATCTACTTGTATGAACATGGGGCATACCAGCTCCAGTTTCACTTTTCCCAATTCATTGTTTACAACTCTTACTTTCATTGGACGCTACCGAGTGGACCTAAAACCTACTAATATCGTCGTTAAATAAAATATAAATAAATAAAGATAATATAATATAATCTCCGTGTGGAGGCCGGTTAGAATACCTCCACCGTATCCCTGTGAACCGTAGAAGGCGACGAAAATGGAATCCGGTGCCTAGGGGTATAACCAGGCCACCCAGTTCCTGGGGGATATAAATATAGATACTTGGTCCTCAAGCTTGGGTCTGGGTGCAAGACTGACGACATTACTCTGTAAAAACAACTGTTGCGAAATCCAAAGGAATAACAATCGGATGGTCTTATTGAAGACAAAATCCTAGCAGAATTTTCAGAGGAAGGCTATGTCTCAAAATGGCTGTTTTACCAACTATGATGAATATAATATAATACAATATAACATAATACAGTATAATGTGACGCATATGTCCATTTCTAGGAAACGGCTCAGTAAACACATTCCCACAAACACATAAACACAAGAGAAGGATAATAATTGTTAGATAAAGGACAAATAAACACGCATTCTTGACAACAGAAGACGGTGTTTTCCGTGGGGTCCGTGCCGAGGAATTATAAGAGGGCACAATCAGGATAATTAAAAGAAGTATGCAAAAGGAAAAAAACTGTAGAAACACATATGTAAACTTTTAAAATAAAGCAAAAGGACAGACAGGGTTTAATGTTAGGGTTCGCGTATTTAAGCCGGACTGCTGGCTAGAAATCAGTTTGCATCCGGAAGGTCCTGAGACCGGCCAGCTCGACCAAGGTTTTCCGTGGTTTTCCTCGGTACTAGAGCAAATGCTGAGTTGGGACCCAAATTCCACGTTGCACTGCATGCCTAACATGCAGCCCTCCCATTGTTAACATCAAAATTTCGCCTTAATATAGCCCTCCCAACGTTAGCAAAAACAAACAAACAAACAAAAAATCCGATCATATGCTCTATCTTTACCAGAAGGACAAGCGGGCACTGCCTGGGAACCTTCAAAATCGGAGATATAGTTTCTTCCCCTCCCCCAATGTTTTTTTACACAGTGTATAATTAAAAGAGTACAAGCGAGTACAATTCAGTTGTAAATCAGAATAGTTCCCGTAGAGTGTCCAGTCGGAAGAAGATGACAGTGTGTCAGACAGTGATTCGTGAACTGTTGTAAAGGTGCAATAAATTCGATCATCAAATCGGAAATCCGTCTTATTAGTCACGCAAACCCTCGGTACGTGAGAATAATATGGTATAATGTACTAATATAATATGACGTATTCGGGAAGCAGAAGTATTCAGTTCAGTTACCGAACCTCATTCTGGGGGTTTACAACACAGACGTGAAGACGCAAATACGCCTCGTTTTCAATATCAGATGAACTCGCCCATTCTGTATGTGTGATATAGAACGATTTAGAATGAGTACTGAGTTCCTTGCCTTGGTGACGACACGTATTATTCGCAAAGTGTAGGCCGATAATTACTGCAATCATTAAACTGGAACGACTAAAATAACAAAAGTTAAAGCAACCTACAGACAAGCTGGTTGTTATTAATTAAACTTCACCACGACACACCCAGTTCTGCTGTCCGGGCAGGGACAACTTTCTCTCTGAAATGTTTATGCGGAGGAGACGGAAGACAGTCACATTGGGGCGCTTCTATTCAGACGGTTGCATAAGGGGTTTTTATTGCTAGTGGGATGGGACTAAGTCCCTTGTACTGCGGCCACTTCTGGCCTATTGTGATGATAGGTGAGGGTGATTATGGAGCAATTGGTGGAATGAAGATTAGCAGGGGAAACCGAAGTACTCGGAGAAAACCTACCCCAGTGCCACTTTGTCCACCACTAATCCCACTTGACCAGCCCCGGGATCGAACCCAGCCACCGCGGTGGGAAGCCAGCGACTAACCGCTTGAGCTATGGAGCGGCCTTTGCATAAGTTGGTTTCTCACCATGGAAGTCTGAGTTCAATCCAAGGGCAGTCTACTATGAAGGCTTTGTGTTTGATAAGGGCATTAGGGCTGTTTTTATTTTTTCCAATTTCATGGATTTTCCCTTGCAAATTACATTTCCACCCTCGCCCCATATCCCCATGTCATCTAAAACTAATCCAATAGGTCCATCTGAAACCCAGTGCAAAGAGACTCCGTCTCAACCCTTGAAGTCTCTTCCAGTAAGAAACTTCGGGTCTTGCGAAGTTTGTTGAGTCACTGAGGAACCATGTTCCTGTACAGACAAAGGCGGAAATGTGCCCACATTTATGAACATCGCGCTATAAAATGCGTGTTAGACCTTGCGAATAAGCTCTCACGTTTTGTATACAATTAAACGGGGGTTCTACACTTCGCGCTGTGAACCCACTGTATAGGGGGTTGGGTGATACTGAAAATCGTGAAACATTTAAAACATTCCTTGCATAATCACTTCCAGACTCTGTTATCAGTGACTGGCGGGGAGGAGGAGAGGAAAAGAGTGGGACAAACTTTCCCGGAAATCATGACACCGGAAAATGAGACTGAATCCAACTCTAAAACTACGTAGAGCTGTGTACTACCTGCGAGACTACAACACTACTACCACAAACATCCCCTCAACCATGACAAATTGAAAACATCACTCATCCTGACTCCCGTAGGACGAAAACCAAACAAAACTAAAACCACAGTACCGAGCTCTGTCCTCTTCTCGTCCTGCTGTCTACCTGTGCGTCTTCATTTATAACTCCCCCCCCCCACCAGCTCCCTGTTTCCGCCTTTGATATGCTGCAGTGTCACAGGATGTGTAATTTATAATGTCACAATAAATGGCCCTCTAATATATGACGAAAACGTTCCGCTAGGGTTACGTCAGCAAATTGAAAATTCAATACATGTTCTGTCCTCTCATCAGCAACAGCTGTCCTAATTTATATTTAGGAACACAACTGCGTAAAGTAACATCATAAAAGGTAAAGTTATCCTTGTGTTTAACTAATTAAGCACTACGCCATGAAGGAGTAGGGGGGAGTAAATGTACAGATCCACATTTTCTTGACTCGGCACTAGTTGGAGGTGAGTGGTCAGCTTAACGCCCCGGCCGCTTTACCCCCGCGAAAGAGCCTCCGGTGCCCATTGGATAGAAGGTTGAGTTGGCGCCAGAGCCGGTCCGGGGAACGTGAAGAAAAGAAAATTCTTGACCCTATCGGGACTAGAACTCCGACCCCTCGGTCATCCAGCCCGTAGCGAGTCGCTATAGCGACTGAGCTATCCAGGCTCAAAGAAACATCATACACCGAAAAATTAAGACTGCAGTACCACTTGGAAGTAAGTTCATCTAATTAAAATCCAAACATTACGTTTCTACCTCACAGACAACACACAGCGCCTTCGGTAGGAAGATACCAGCGGTTAGCTTACTGGTGACGCCCTACATCAGTGGTTCTCAACGGGGGCCATATGGCCCCCCCAGTGGGCCAAGCAGTATTTCTGTGTGACCGCAGACAAAATTTGGGAAAATGGAGGGCCATGGAAACTGTGAAGTGGGCCACAAAATTTTCACTTCTAAAATAAAGTTATTAATAATATAAAAAGAAATAAAAATGCCAAATGATCAGTACATATAATAACACAGTAACTCAATATCCTTGTTTCTCTGTACCTTACTTAGAAGGGACAGAAACTATTGTACTTAAACCACAACCTAGATCTGGGAATTCCAAGTACCGGTAAACAGGTACGCGCTTTCTCAGAGAGGGTAGAGCCCTAAGGAATTATTCTTTATTTTCCTAAATATCTCCCCCTCCTCTCATGAGATTTACCGCCACCTTTTCACTACATTTCAGGTGTTCTTCAGTTCGGTATTCGAAGTGTTTGGAAGAAGACGTTTTTCTGCGCAAGTTCTGTTATTGTGGCAGTTCCCTACTTTGTAGGTAAGTTACAAACTCCAGCTACTATTTTTCGACAAATAAGCATTACATTTCATAATAACTTGAACTTTCATTACAAATAAATTATTAGCTTTCAATAGAATTTGAATGCCCTCCCTCTACAAGAAAAAATATTGTGAATTGATTACAGCAGTTTTGTATTTATTTGAAGTAGAATGGCTTTCAAAGTAATTTTTATGAATACTGACTTCTAAAATTTTCCACATCTTCAAAAAATTTAGAAAAAGGGCAGTCATAAAATTTAGAAATTCAAGCTGCCAGAAATTGTTTGTTCCCATGGCACAGTTTGCTTGGTTTATATTTCAAGGTATAAATACACTTTCATATAGATATCCATATTTTGTTCTGCTTCTCGTTTTGATATACAAAAACTTGCTTCATCTCATCAGCCGCAAGGATCTTACTAAACCTGAGGGACACTAATATTATTGTAATATTTTTTGTCAGGAGCATAATTATATACTGTAAATAACCAGAACATTATATAAGAAAAAATTCTATTATAAAGATTTTTGTTAATAAACCCCTTTCTTATTATCAATATTACTTATGCTATAAACAAATAATAATTGTTATAAATAAAAGTACAGTTGATAAGGTACATATTTATAATCAATATTACATTTATTATAATTAATCAATATGAGGGGTGGGGGGGCACAAAACTGAATGAAAGTCAGAAGTGGGCCACGAGCAAAAAAAGGTTGAGAACCACTCTTCTACATTAACATTCGGATGATGCTCGATTCAGAATTCGACAAGGGAAGCGAATATCCTGGTTTAGGTCTTTCGCATTATTCCTCAGTCCCTCCAGCTAAATTCGGGGATAATTCTTAGACTAGATGACGACATCTTTTTATTCGCATAGTGGGGGGTGGAGTCCAGCTGGGTCTACTCGGCACGGCGGCCACTGATTGGCCTATTGTAGCCTGTCCCTGGTGATTATGATGATGGAGAATTTGGTGGAATGAAGATTGGCAGGGGAAACCGACGTACTCGGAGAAAACCCGCCCAAGCGCCACTTTGTCCACCACAAATCCCACTTGACCAGACTCGGGATCGAACCCGGGCCGCTGCGGTGGGTAGCCAGCGACTAACCGCTTGAGCTATGGTGCGGCCTGACGACAGCTTCCTTCCAAATCCTTTTAAATCTATCATTCATCAACCAGCCGTCTACCGGACGTTATACAGTCTTGTTATTGACAGCAGCCTAAAATAACAACAAAAGGAAAGCAATAAACAGGCCAATCTGTTATTGCTGCATACGTTGAAAACCGCTGTTTGTTCTCAGAATCATATGAAACGTATAAACACACACTGTGGGCAAACTGCAGTTTGTAAGATTTGTGGTTTTCACGAAGGTGACTATGAAGAATGCCGTCTTCTGGGATGTGGCGCTGTATAGATCTTGTGTGAACCGACGTTTTTGAGGCGATACGTTCCTCCGAAACGTCGGTTCACACAAGATTTACACGGCTCCACATCCTAGAAGACGGTATTCTTCAAACTGCAGTTTGTTTCTTTGTTAAATTGAGTAGCAGTAACCACTGTGGTTAATGGGGCACAGTCTGTTAGTTGGGTCTTCAGCTGCCCGAGATGTTCTTGCAAGAAACACGGTCACAGACACTGGACCTGTAGTGAACAGATCCCCTATACTTTTCTTTTTCCTTGGCACTACAGCCCCAGTGGGCCTAGGCCTAGTTCCATGAACTTCTCCGTTCACTTCGGTTTTTCTAGATCTTACACATTCGGTAGGACTCCTTGGGCGGGTGATCAGCTCGTCGCAAGGCCTCTGCCTGTACATAAACACAGGAAAACGCACACACACAAACTAAACATCCATGCCCGGAGTGGGAATCGAACCCACAATCCCGGTTTCCAAGCGAGCGAAGACAGTACATGCGTTAGACCGCTCGGCTACCGTGACCGGCCCCATGTACTTGTCTCTCTACTATTTATACTGACGCTGTGGGCCATCAGGGGTGTCTGTGTATCAAGCACTGGCCAGTATAAAGCTATTTACGTACAGACCAGCAACATAGGCAATCATAACGACAACGACCCCTTAATTAACCCCATTTCACCATTAACGACCATTTAAGTACTCACCTTTCACACATGGCTCGTGTGTTTTTGCATCACGACTGATTAAGCCAGGAAATATAGTCCGATGTCTGCATCAAAAGGCTGTGTTCTTAGGTTAAAATCACTACGCTCAACTTCAAGCACTTTGGGAATTAAAAACGTAAATTATTACCACAAGACACAAACACAGAATCACGTTAAGTAAGATTTATATCGTTACAGACACTTCTAACATAAAGCACAAATAAAATTCATCGTCAAAACACACACTCGTAAAAATGTCTTCACCGAACGCTGGAAGCAGACCGAACTTCTAGATCTTCCCGGTGTTGAATTATGGGTAATTGTAACGGTGGTGGGAGGTTATTGGCTGCTCGATTTGTCACGCCACATCATGAAGCCTCAAGTTACACATTCCCACCCCTCTCTGCTCGTCGCAGAGAAGACGGTTAATGGCAAATGCAGGCTTAGATCTGCAGTTTTTTAAACTAATATCGCACAGTGATACAATAACTAGCCCCATGGAGTTTACATCTGTTCAGCCAATCAAGATATTCCTAGTATTTTATGACATAAATAATCACATATTTGCCGTGTTCACAAAAGTCCGCCTTTAGTTCCTATACAGATAAATCCAGTCCACGCCCACCATATTTAAGATAAGTTTCAATATTGTCTTCCCATCTGCTTCTTGGGTTTTCAAGTCTCTTTTTATAGAAAGAAGGGACCGCAAAATTACTAATTACTTAAACGAGTATTCTGAGATTAAAACGTGGGATCTGCCAACATAACTACCTTTTAATGAAACTTCTTTTTACGACAACTGCAGAACTCCGAAACTGATTATATCTATGGCGATGGCCACTGAAATCGATAATTTGCTCTAGCAGTCTAATATATTCTTCTTAAGAATGCCGTATCCTGGGATGTGGCGCCGTGTAAGTATGAACCGACGTTTCGGGGGAGCGTATCGCCTCCGTCTTTAGGGTAAAAAATCCTCGAGCGAATAACCAGTTTTAGCAGGTGGCTGCAGACGATACGTTCCTCCGAAACGTCGGTTCACACAAGATATACGCGGCGCCAAATCTCAGAAGACGGCATTCTTCACAGCCACCGCTGTGAAAACCTCAAATCTTACATCTTCTTATTAATTCCGTCGCTAGTAGGTCTAGGTTACTCATTTATAATAGTTTCCCCCAAAAAAAGATGTACAAATGTGGATGAGCGATGTGTAATTATTCTCTCGTAATTCTGAACGTGTTTATATGATTTCATTAAGGTCAGACAAAGATAAAACACTACCAACCAACGTCTGTGTATAAAACAGTCAGTCAATAATGCAACAAATTGTTCCTTTTTCTTCCGCTTATACTTTAACACAACATGTTTCGGCCATCTTCAGGTGTCTTGATATATTAAAACTGCTACACTGCATTAATATACGCTAAAATCACACGCTGTGGTCCTCTAACTAACTCCGTGGTCTGTAATCCGCAAGCAAACTATACCGACCGAGCACCGCCGCTTGTCGGCGAAGTTAGTGCCAACTTTAGCGGATAGAGGGTGTCACGTGGTCAGACACGCTGTGGTCCACTTAATATAATAAAATAAAATCCATTACAATTTTCTCGACTTTAGTGAAATTCTATTCCACCTCACAAGGGGTATCGTCCATTTATTTAGAACTATATTTTTGAACCTGAAGAAGGAAACAGAGTCAGTAGTCAATTTCCGAAACATAGTGATTTTTATTAAAATCAGTTATCGTGACGACGGACAACGTGCGAAATAATGGCGCTGAAGCTTGTGTTACTAGCAAACATCATTAGAGTGACGTAAAGCTAACGGAGCTTGGCAGCCAGGAACAGACCCACAAGTGATGCAGAAAATAATGTTATATTAAAGAGATGGACTGATTATTTAAACTTGCTGTTCGTTGGAAGTGTGTATATTCAACGTAGAGTAAGCTGCGGAAACGTGTTCAAAGGGCAAGCAAAGTGTCAGTAGTGGCCTGTTATAAGTGATATTGTTTTACTTTTCCAGGAAATTTGAGGCAAATATCAACTAGAACAGCACGTCTCCTTGTCGGAGTTAGATTTCGATAATTTCTGAATAAAAATCAGCCCATTTGTCGAAATGCTGCATATTTGTCAGACAATACTCCCCAAATTTAGAACCTGACAACCGGTATCAATTTTGAATTATCTTGTTACTGGCCAAATATTCCGACCACAAGAACGAGAACTGGGCCGCAGAACTTCTTCCTTTCTGCATTGAAAAGGACGATTACCAGACAAACAAAAGAATACAACGAATAATCACAGAATGAAAAGACGAGCACCGAAGTGAACGGAGAAGTTCATGGAGGTAGGCCTAGGCCCACTGGGGCTGTAGTGCCAAGGAAAAAAAAAGACGAGCTGCAGCTGTGAATGTTAACATGATATTGATTATAATATTTTGTAGAAGTTTATTACTTCGATTTTAAATCATAGTCTTTAAATATGTGAACTGCAAAATTTCCTCCTAATATATACAGCACCTGAGGATGGTCTCATGAGACCGAAACAAGTCGGGGTATTAACAAGACGAGAAGTGAGCCAGATTTGCTTAGACGGTGATTTGAATCTGACGTTAATGTAAGCGGTGTATCAAAAAATAGACCTTGCACAAATTACCTTAATTAAATAAAATTCAGAGCCGAGATAGCGTAGTCGGTATAGCGACTGGCTACGGGCTGCACGACTGAGAGGTCAGAGTTCGAGTCCACGTCGTCCAGACCGGCTCTGGGGTCCACCCACCCTCCTATCCAGTGGCTACCGGGGGCTGTTTCCCCGGAGGTAAAGCGGCTGGGGCGTGAAGCTGACCACTCACCTCCAACTAGTGCCGAGGTGAAAAAC